AATGGGACAGCCTACCCCCAGGTGGAGGTAGATGTCTCTTTTATTCCGGTCTAGCTGGCTTTTTTCCCGGCGGTATCGAGCTGTTGTTCTTCTGGCGCATTTTTTGTGATCCGGCGCGCCGGCGACATCCTCCTCAGGTCCCGGCTATGTCCCTTTGGCTCCGCTGCGCCCTCGGGTGACGTCACCACGCGCCTCCTGCAGTACGACAGTCGCCTGTTGCTCCCGCTGCCAGCCACCAGGGATCTCTCCTTCCGGCCTGCTGCTCACCGCTCACTGCTGCCACGTCGCCTTGCTTCCACTGCCAGTACTCCGCCATCGCTGCCGTCTCCATCGCTATTGCCGTCGCCTCCACACGCCTCGCCAGAGGAGGGTGCCCCCCACCCTTCTAAGGGTGGGTACCCATTTATCTACTTGCATGGATGTTACATCTGCTTTCGAACTGCTGGGCTTAGGCTTCTCTATAGGGCAAACCGCTATTACAGGCTTAGGCTTCTCTATTGACTGAGTTAAGGCAAAGTCTAGAAGAATCATTAGAGGATCAGATAAACTGTCTTGCCTACATTCGGCCAATAAACTCCAACAGGTCCATAAATGCCACAGGAAGGAGGATGTTATTGCTGGGGGGGGGGGTGATCATAACATAAATAAAGTCCCATTCTGTTGCAGCCGTGTTTCATTTTCTACAGCTTCCTTTTTTTGCCTTCTGTTATCATCAGGCATGTCGCCCCAACAACTGCCAAAGGAAATAAAAATGACAACAGCCAGCTGCTGTTTGTGTCTAACTGCCCTACGACTTGCAAGAGAAGCCTCTGGACCGAGAGCACGTAGTCAAAGCCCCTGTTTATAGGCTTGGGCTCAAATGACACATTACATGGAATTATGTGATACCCACCCACACACCCACACCCACACCCACACAAACACAATTATTTTTCCAAAAGCCAAATTCAGCTTCAATGGTACACCAAGCAGGGGGGGGGGGGGTTTTTTTAACTTCTTCCTCTCTGGCTGTTTGTTTGCTTTGCATCAAAAAGGACTGGGTCAAACTGCTTTTCAACTAAAAACCCAAGATGGCTTACCAAGCAATAAAGCACAATAAAATCAATAAAAGCCAGTAGAAGATAATAAATATAAATATATATTAAAAAAATTAAAATGAAGTAAAAATCAATAGTGCTACTCTCCGCAACACACAATTTCTTTCTTGATCAAATTCAAAGGTGGGTAATCGGGGCAATAGCCCCCCCCCCGGTTCCCACTACACAAACCTGTGCTATGGCTGTGTCCTAGAAGACAACTCTCTGGGCCAAGCTCAAATCTTGAACCAAAAGAGCCATGAATGACAGCATAAACATAGACAAAATAAAACCAATGGTTTCTTTATCCCTATTCTGTAAATTCCACAGTTCCGTTTATATACCTTCTAGAAGTCTTTCCGTCCATATGACTGCTAGCAATCTTTTTGGACATATAGGGTATGGTTCTCTACCTTTTGGAAACATATTTATATTCCAATTGCTATTATCAAATGGCCAAATGTCATTTCCTCATTACAGATTTACCATCCTTTTTCTAATTCACAAGGGATCATACAACAGAGATGATTCCCATTTAGGCAGGCAGTCAAATGTTTGCTCAAGACATGCAACAGATTGAAGTGGTAATGGACTGTGACACTTCAGACTCTTCAGGAGAGGTATTACAGTTTTCAAAGTCCCCCCATATTAATTGTTACCTATAAATTGTAAAACACACAAAGTGCTAGCCTAGAACATTGCTGTATGGAGGAGTTATGCTCCCCTATGCTCCCCAATCCAGGAGCTGGGCTGATGTGAATCTCTTCCTCAAGAACTACTGGAAGAAAATATAGTCTTGGAGTCACAGAACAGCAAGGAACACTAGAAGGTCAGATGCAGAGATGAGCTGTTATAGTCACTGTCTTGTTTTCTGACTGTGTACATGTTGTCATGGACATCAGGTTTAGTCTGCCTCATTTTCATTGCCATCACCAGGGCTATTTTTGGACAGAAACGCACAGGAATGGAGTTCCGGCTGGCTTCAGAGCTAAAACCTCTGCGTGTGTGGCTACAGAGGGAAGGCCTGGAGAGCGACCCCCCCAGCAACTCCGAAGTGGGGGGCCAGGGGGGCCCCTGGAAGGATTGGGGAGGCATTTAAGGGCCAGCTTGCCAGGCATCCCGCAGCCGTGGGGCACCTGGGCAAGTCAAGGGAAGATATGGGGTGTGGCCTAATAAGCTAATGAACTGTGCTGTTGGGGGTATGGCCTAATATGCTAATGAATTTGTGCTGTTGGGTGTGGCCTATTATGCTAATAAGTTCCTGCTGGGCTGTTTCTACAAAAAGAGCCCTGGCCATCACTGATTGGGAACGGGTTGTTCATTTTATCCCATGTATAGGACATTTAAGTTATATAAAAACTGATCCCCAGATCATTGGGAAGTATGTTAATTTGATACAAGGAAAGAGAAATTGGTGCAAACCAGAAAGAAGATACTCAAACAAAACTGTAATGGGGCAGCCAGTGCGGTGTAGTCAATGTCTAGGGCCAGGATCTGGGCAACACAGGTTTGAATCCTCACTATTGCTTGCTGAGTGACCTTGGGCCAGTCACACACATTCAGCCTAACCTACCTCACAGGGGTGCTATGAGAATAAAATGGAAGAGAACAATGTAAACTGCTTTGGGTCAGGAGAAAGCCTGATTGTAAACGAAGTAAATAAATAAACCTTGCAGATTCATCCTTGACTGAGTAACTTTGAGTAACTTGTAAGGTGATGCACATTGCGACATAGGCTGATGGGGTCTGAACTTGCTGAGATGGAGAGGGGAAAAGATCTTGGGGTCATAGTGGATATCTTGATGAGAGTGTCAACCCAGTGTGCTGCAGCCAGTGTTCCCTCTAAGCTGAGTTAGTGTGAGGTAGCTCACAGTTTTTTAGCCTCTGGCACAAACATTTTTGTCTTTGCTCAGGAAGGATGGCTCCAGAGCAGACTAATTTATGCAGGAGCCAAATCGCTTGCTCACAACTTTAATGCCAGTAGCTCACAAAGTAGAATTTTTGCTCACAAGACTCCACAGTTTAGGGGGAGCATTGGCTGCAGCAGTGAAAAAGGCAAACTCTGTGTTAGGGATTATTAGGAAAGGTAAAGGTAAAGGTAAAGGTTCCCTTGCTCGAAAGCCAGTCGAATCCGACTCTAGGGTTGCGGGTGCTCATCCCCGTTTCAAAGCCGAAGAGCCAGCGCTGTCCGAAGACGTTTCCGTGGTCATGTGGCCGGCATGACTAAACACCAAGGTGCACGGAACGCTGTTACCTTCCCACCGAAGTGGTACCTATTTATCTACTTGCAATTTCTTGCTTTCGAACTGCTAGGTTGGCAGGAGATTAGGAAAGGTACTGAGAATAAAATGGCTGATATTGTAATGCCTCTGTATAGATCTATGGTGCAGCCTCAATTGGAATACCGTCTACAGTTCTGGTCACTGTATCTCAAAAAGGACACTGCATAGCTGGAAAAAGTTCAGAGAAGGACAACTAAGATGTTTAGGGGGTTGGAGAACCTTCTTTGTGAGGAAAGGCTGAAGAGTCTGGGACTTTTCAGTTAAGAAAAGAGACAGCTAAGGGGGGACATGGTAGAGGGTTATAAAATTATTCATGGGGGGGAGAGAGTTGACAGTGAAATTTTTCTTCCTCTCCCAAATTACTAGAATTCAAGTGGATCCAATGAAGCTGATGGGCAGTAGGTTCAGGGTGAACAAAAGGAAATACTACATTACACTGAGAGAGATTAAAATGTGGAGCTTGCTGCCAGAGGATGTAGTGATGGCCACAGGAATAAACAGCTTCAAAAGGAGATTAGATAGATTCATGGAGGATAAGTCTACCAATAGCTACTAACCATGGTGACTGAGGGGAACCTCCACATTCAGAGGCATTAATCCTCTAAATCCCAGAGCTAGGAGGCAACATCAGATGATGGCCTCAGCCTCTATGCCATGTTGTTCACTGTCCAGCGGTTGGCCTCTGTATGAGACAGGATGCTGGACTAGATGGACCACTGGTCTGATCCAGCAGGGCTCTTACGTTCTTATGAGATCATTACAATAAAGTGTTACGAAAACCTTTCTTAAAATACCAGTCATTCTAATTTAGCTATTTTTATCAACTTAATATGAAATTCTTGACGCAAGTGTAGAACATCCCAAAGCAGTGTCACCAAAATTCATCATAACGTAAACACATAATACAAAGCTTAAACATATGAACTTTTGTAATCATGTCAAAAAGATTATTTACTAGTAGCAATTTTCATAGGTGTGCTATGAGAAGGCCTAGTTTAGGTGTTCTAGAATCTTCCTTGCAGATTATCCACAGGGATCAAGGACATGGGGTGGAAATAATACCTGACCTGGCATAGCCATAGTGATAAGTGCCATTTCCCAGTTGTGAACTATATATCAAGTGTTTTGTATTGCATTGGTCCACTAATCTACCTAGCACAGTTTTGTCTACTGTGGCTTGCAACCAGTGATCCAGGATTATCTCCTCATTGGTCTTTACCAGCTCTGCCACCTGAGACCCTTTTCATTAGACCTGCCAGGTATAGAACCTTGGCTCTTCTGCATACAAAACATGAGCTCTGTTATATTGCTATGGCCTTGCATGTGATTCACATGAGGGGGTGTGAATAAAAGAGCTGGCACATTACTAAACAATGCCTAAATATCCTTGACAGCAATCCAAACTTTGTTTATTTGTAAGTATTGTTATTTCAAAATAGAACATGAGGGTTGCTTATTTACATCCACAGCTTTGCAGGTGCTGGGTAATTTCTCAAATGGCATATTCAAGTGGATGTGCTTGATGCAAGGACAGCCACTATGTAATCTTTCTGCACACCAAAGTATACTGAAATAAGATCTCACAGATAAAGCAGGATAAGTACTGTCATATGACCAACAGATCTCCTTCTCCATGGCTTACCTTTAGGTTGAGCTTTCAGTGCTGTTTTTCCAGGCTCAGCTATGTTATCCCTGTCCCCATCTAATGCAGGTGCACCTTTGCTTAAAGAGTTCTGAAAGCTGTTCTCCGGTTCCACAATACCACTTTCCACTGTTTTGTTACAGTCTGTCATTATCAGGCAATCAGGATCTTTAGAGTCATAAGTGACAGCTGAAGATGGATTGTCTACTTCTTCCACAGTGGAAGAGCTGTTAACAAAGTCAAGCCATGACTGTCTCTCTGGATGCAATGCTTTGGACAATGAAGAAGAAGAAAAGCCTCGTAACTTCCTACTGCTTTCAGGGGAGGATAAAGAACTGGATACATGGGATGATGAGGAAGGCTCTTGCTGGACCTGTTTTCCAGAGTAAGACAAGGAAAGAAAAATGAGTCAAGTCATAAGGTAGCCCTGCAAATCAAATCACACTCAGGACACTGCCTTACCCAGTTTTTTCTGACCTACCCCAACCAGGTGGCAGACCTCTGTGGCCAAATACAATACCCAGTAAAACTGCTTGTCTTGGCTGCTTACAGGAACTCAGACTGATAGTACTAGTGGCCTAAGGCAAGCTGTTGGCAGGTAAACTTAGGCCCCAGTCACACGGGAGGTTTAGGGCCGGAAGAGGGCCGGATCGGGGGCGCAGCAAACAAGCGCAATCCCACCGCAACATCTGGGAAGCGTTGCACACCCGTCCCTGATCCGGTCCTTCAGGCCGAAAATCCGTAGTTAAAAGAAACCACCTACAGAGGTGGACTTACCAGAAAGGCCGCATCAAGCGTGGCCGTGGGATCGCCGGCACGTCCTTTTGCCGGCGCATCCGAGGCTCCTGGCCAAACTGTGCATGCGCACACATGTGCAGCCGGCTGTCTTGGTCTCCGGTCGGTGGCTTCCTCCCCAGCATCTGATCGTGCCGGGGAGCAACGGCGTGGCGGCTCAGGGGATCTATGCGATCCCGCCGCCGTGTGTTTCTTTTGGTGCGGCTCTGAATAGCCGCACTTTGCCCGTGTTTTTTTTCTGCCGTGTGGCAGGGACCCTAGTAGATTCTGCCTCAGTTCCACAATGCCCCCTTTCCGTAAGACCACTTCAAAAAGTGTAAACATCAGTGAAGTAAATAACAGAACAAAATCTGAGTCCAGTGGCACTTTTAAGATCAACAAAATTTTATTCAAGGCATAAGCTTTTGTGTGCATGCACACATCTTCCAATAATAATGATGGAAATGCTGGGGAGGGGGTACACAAGCATTTTCTCTTTAAAACAGTTCCCAAGAGAGGCAACATAAAAATTCTAAATAAATAAAATGATCTAGGCTTTCAGTGTAGCAACGTTCCATATCACAAAGCAAAACAAAAAAAAAAGATTGGAAGTGAAGTGCTTTGTCTTGGATGAATTTATTTCTTGAAGGGATATAACCTTACCATGTTAACAGATAGAGCATTTCCATGCAACAATAAATTTCCAAGCATGAATAATACAACATGCAGATGTTTGCCTCAGTAAACAAAATGCTTTCCTTGGGAGATTAATTAGTCTTTAGGGACCATTTCAAACAGCAATTGTAAACATGATATACCTTGACAGCCCATCTAGGAATTCCTATGAAAACAGGACTGTTTTTTGAAGCAAATAGGGAGGAGTTTGCAAGGGAGCTTTGTTGTTCAGGTTTAAGAGAAAGATGTTATTCCCCCCCCTCCAAACCCTAATTTCCACTTGTTTTCTCAAACCATCTGGTTGGTGGTTAAGCAAAGAAAATCACATGGTCTACCCTCAGAAATTATTATCCAGCAAAACAGACTATTAACCCTTGAGATACTTCCTCTGTCAGTGTCTCTGCACATTTGAAAGAAAAAGGAACATTTGGAAGAGCAACAAGCAGGGGAAAGCAAAAGGCATAATCAAGTTGACAGATAATTCTAAAAGGTGCTCTCAGCAGCCCTTGCTTTGCCTTTCCTTTGGCTTGCTCAGGACCTAAGGCCTCAGGACAAAATCTGGCCACTTGGAGTGCATCAGTGGCTCCCATGGATGCAATGGTGGGGCAAGACAGATATATGGAGGGAGTGGTGGCTACAACAGAGTGATTTGTTACCAAGATAGGTGGGGGCCTTGGCCTAACAACTGTATCTCTCCATCCCTTCTCTCAACGTGGCCTTGCCATAAACGCAGATGCTGGGAAGGATGTTCAAGGATGAGAGCAAAAGAACGGACAAAAATAAATCTTCTTGAATGTGCATTGGGAACAAGCCGGATGAAACTATTTGACTATGCACAGTTATGAGTCATGTAGCAAAGCAATTTATACCAACTTGACAAAAGGAGGTCAGTCTCCATTCCAGCACCGCGTGGCCAGCAATAATAATTCACAACCTTAGTGATGGGGGAGGGGAGAATAAATGTTAATAATGTAAGTTTGCAATCCTGTATGAATGTTGGATTACGTGTAAGGCCCACTGACCAATGGGATTTACCTAGCGTTGCCAGCCTCCAGGTGGGGCCTGGGAATCTCCTGCTTTTGCAAGTGATCTCCAGCTGACAGAGATCAGCTCCCCTGGAGAAAATGGCTGCTTTGAAGGGGGGACTCTATGGCATTGTACCATGCTGAGGCCCCTCCCCTCCCCAAACCCCGCCCTCTCCTGGATCCATCCCCAAAGTCTCCAGGTATTTTCCAACCCAGACCTGGCAACCCTAGATTTACTTCTGAGTAAGTTTGCACCAGATCAGACTGCTTCACTCACTGTTGATATGAGATTTTGAATGTCCTTTTTGATTATGTTTGTAATTTCTCATTTTTTGTTACTGCGTGGATTGTTATTTTTATGGCTATTCTAGGGTGCACTTTAAGCTTCCATATGGACAATGTAAGGGAGCATATCTTAGCTATCCTGGCTTGCCATGCTGGAGAGGCTGGAGTTCGGCCTCTCGAAGTGCAATCCTAAAAGCAATTTCCTGGGAGTAACCCTTATTGAATAGTCCTGGGTAGGATTCTGAGTCATCCTAGTTAGGATGACACTAGGGTTGCCAAGTGTAAATTCCTCCAGAGCAGGGGACTCCTGTCCGGTGTCTGGAGCCACACGCACGTCACCCGGAAGTGACATGATGACGCTGGGCACGCTGGGGGCGGGGCCACGACCATCCGAGGGAAAACCATAGAGTTTTCCCTCAGATGACCGTGGCCCCACCCCCAGCGTGCCCAGCATGGTCGTGTCACTTCCGGGTGATGCGCACGTCAGGGTGGGGTTCCCCCCGGGGCCCGATCCGCCGGCGGTGGGGAACAGGCCTCTGGGGTGGGGGTTTCCCCGCCCCCCGGGGGACTTGGCAAGCCTAGATGATACTGTTGCCAACGTTTCCCTTTCAAGCCAATCCAGTTGGGCCGAAGGGCTGACAACCTCCAGGTAGGGTCTGGAGGTCTCCCAGAATTACAACTGACCTCCAGGCTACAGAGATCAGTTCCCCTGGAGAAAATGGCTGCTTTGGCGGATGGGATCTAGGCATTCTGCCTCTCCCCAAACCCTGCTCTTCCCCAGGATCCACCCCAAATCACCAGGAATTTCCCAACCTGGAGTTGGCAACCCTATCCTGTTGCTTGCAGCCAGTTCACCTCAAGGTTTCATCTGGGTGTCTCTTGGTGGTTACAATGTAGTTACCAGCTTATTATGCACCAAACATTTGCCCTCTTCTTCATCATACTTAGTAGTATAACAGTCTTCAAGCAAAACAAATAAACAGCAGCCAGCTTGGGTTAATTCTGGCACACCTGAGCTACAAGCCACTCACTGGAACTCAAAAACTGAGGCATTTTATTTAATTATTACCAGTGGTCCAGCATAAACTCTTGCACTCTGATGCTTACAATGTTTACAGCATATCTGACTCTTCATTTTTGTAGTGCATACAAAATCATTCATGTTATGCTACTGTAATTCGTTTTATGTGCCAGTGGTTTTTTTCCTCCTCTCACTTCCCCCAGAATTTAAGGAGGATAGAATGAGTAGTGATTACCTTATCTTGCTGAAACAGAAAGGAAAATTTAGGAGAGGATATTGGTGGCAGCATGACCCACTATCCAAACAATATAAAACCAAAATTAGCATTAGCAAAATCTGTCCCAACAGACAGCTCCTGCACAAGCTAAGCTATTCCCTCCCTACCAACAACACCCTGTCTACCAACTTCTTAGTTAGATCGCTAGCCCTTAAGTATGTGTCTTAGGAAAAGCTGCTGAATACTGCCTTGGGCTTACCAGAGCAAATGAGCTGTCTCACAGGATAAGAAAACCAAAAATATATTAAATGGTTTGGCTCACAAGGGTTACAAGATATCATGAAATTCCAGAGTGCTCATTGCCTTGGTATGAATAGCACTAAAGCATATTCAGGACATAATAGAAGCAACCGAAGCAATTGTGGACTTTCAAATTTCATGGGAGATTCTCTTTTGAGTGGAATTAAGCCACTGTCCAGCAGAGACTCTATGACCACATGCTGAGGGTCTGTTCCCTTCATACACACACACACACACACACACACACAAACATACAAACACACACAAACAAACAGAATAACTAAGGCGCCTGTCACACGGGCAGGAAACTGCAGAGGAGAAGTGTGGCTGTTTGCCCCGGGGCAAACTAACATGCAGTAAAGCGATCAGACCTACTGTGGAGGTTCTGTGGAGGTACTGTGGAGGTTCCATGGCTCTATGACCACATGCTGAGGGTCTGTTCCCTTCATACACACACACACACACACACACACACAAACATACAAACACACACAAACAAACAGAATAACTAAGTAGGCTATCCAGAAATATCTTAGTCACTTCTTTGGACTGGTATCTAAACATTTCTTGCCCTTCAGCTTTGAAAGTGGGAAGGGGGGTCATGACTTAGTGGTAGAGCATCTACTTTGCTCAAAAAAAACCTAGCTTCAAGAAATGGGAGGAGAAGGAGAGTTGGATTTATACCCCACCCTTCATTCGGAGTCTCAGAGAGGCTTACAATTTCTTTCCCTTCCTCTCCCCACAACAGATACCGCTATGAGAGAACAGCTCTGAGAGAACTGTGACTGACCCAAGGTAACCCAGCTGGCTGCATGTGGAGAAGCGGGGGATCAAAGTCGCTTTCTCCAGATTAGAGTCTACCACTCTTAACCACTACACCAAACTGCCTTTAACAGTTTTTGAGAAATTGTCATTGTGTCCTATGGGGTGTTTATCTAAATTATATGATCTGTTTCTAGAGCACAAATGCAGAAATCCTAAAACACTGGCAAACAACTGGAACAATAACTAAGACAATTTATGATAGCTCTACCATTAAAAAAAATCATCTTTGGACCCTACTGTCCTGGCCAACTACCACCCAGTATTGAATCTTTCCTTTCTGGGCAAGGTAGTCGAGAGAGCGGCAGCCAAGCAACTCCAGGCTTTCTTGGATCCATTCCAGTACAAGTGGACTCCCTGGCCACAGGACTGAGATGGCGCTGGTTGCCCTCACAGATGACCTCTGGAGACACCTGGACCGAAGTGGGTCAGCACTGTTGCTTCTTGACCTTGCAGCAGCATTCGACACAGTCGATCATGACCTCCTGACCCACTGCCTCACTGACACTGGGATATGGGGGACCGCTTTGCAATGGCTATCCTACTTCCTCCAGGATCGGGGACAGAGGGTGGTGCTCAGGGAGAGGATTTCACCCCAACACCCACTGGTAAGTGGTGTCCCTCAGGGGGCAGTCCTCTCCCCGGTGTTGTTACATGCACCCCCTCACCCAGCTACTCCCAAATGTACCTGTTGATGGACAGCCGGCCAGACTTGGCACTGGAGGCCATAACTGGTTGGTTACAGCAAGGCCGGCTGAAATTAAATCCATCCAAGATGGAGGTCCTGTTCCTGAGCTGCAGGGGTGGGAAGAGATCTGGGAATTCGCCTCCCAGCCCTTGGTGGGGCACCATAATGTCAGTGCTGAGGGTGAAGAGGTTAGGAATTTAGAAGTAATACTGGATGTCTCATTAACTATGGAGGGCCAGATCACCAATGTTGCCAAATCAGCCTTTTACCACCTCCGGCTGGTTCGGCAACTAGTTCCCTACTTCTCTCCTCAGGACTTGGCTACAGTGATTCATGCAATGGTCACTTCCAGGTTAGACTACTGTAACTCACTCTCAAGTCTTTTTATTTATCTTTTGAACTATGCTGAAGAGCTCCCAGGGTAGTACCAGGCGATAATTCTTAACTTAATCACCATATCACAGTTTGTCTTTGCAAAATACTGGGAAATACCGGTAAGTTCAGGTCCCCAAGAAAGTGAATTGTTGGAGAAAGTTTAGGGACTGTATGTATTACTGATTTGCAAAAAAACCCAGGATATAACACACTGCTTTGCAAAAGGAACAGAATATAACACAATTAGATACATATGTCAGAGTACCCCACCCTTGGGATGAAGTGTGATTATATTACTGAGTTATGCCAAGTGGTATGAATAACTTTAAAAAATAAATAATGTTTTACACTGAAGAACCATTCAAGACTTCATATTTACTGCAATCTTTATACATGCACACATACGCCAGGACCCATGAGAAACTCATAGGGAAATTCCCGCATTGGTCTCTGCTTTGTCCTCTGTGGAAGGACTATCGAGGGTTAATGCCTCAACGAGTCCGAGAACCTTTGAGTGACAGGCTGTTCAAACAGAATTCTGTGGAAAGCGTCAGTTAAGAAATGACAGTTGGGAACTGTTGAAGAAGAGACAATTTAGCACTGATTGAGGATTGGTAAGGAGGCGAAGGGGAGTGAGAGGATCACAAAAGATCTCCATTCAAGCCAAGAAGGGACAGAGGTTCTAGTCAAGAGAAATAATCCCTACCCAGTGAAAAGGGAGGTAGCTCTAAAGAGAGGAGTGATCCCTTGGTCTGTATATATATCGCTTCTCGGCCTTTTGGCTAAGATCAAGTGTAGTGTATATACAGGGGTTATTTCGTAGAAAAAGAGCTAGGGGAACTCATTAGC